TATATGCGACGACTTTCACGCATTTAACATACATTGGAGAGCGAGTCAATGCATGCACTTAATTCTGTGCATACTAACTATTTTGCAATAGGAATAATCTAAAATAGCTTAATTAATCCATATTTATTTGCGCTCTTAGAGAGAGAAATGCTTTTAGCTATTGACAGGAAATATATTGCGTGACCTCACTAAATGACTAATTCGATTCTGTTATTGTCGTATATTCGCGCACGCGCATTGACAGTGTACCACGGTACAGCGTGAACATATAACGTCTGCGCATGCGCGTGATAAAAAAATAGCGATGAATAGAAATGTCAAATTGTAAACAAAAACATGGCTATTTCATTACTTAATGTAATGAAACAAAAAATAAACTTGATGGGTAGTTTATACATTAATAAAAAGTTTTCCAAAATTTTAAATGTTAAAAGAAACAGAATTTAAATTAAAAATGATCATTCAAAACCGGGAGGCGTGTGAACATTTCCCGAAAAATTGTCGAATACCGGACTTAAGCACAATAGTTAATTAGTTAAAAAAACTTTCGAATAGTTAAGCATTTGCGCTTAAATATAGTCAACGCAAAAATTATACATGCATGCTACGCAAAAAAAGTTATTGACAAAAATGCGGATCATATGAACCAACGAAAAATATCTATGTATGATTCAGTTAAAGACATTCTGGGACTTATAGGGGGTTTCGTGCCTGCTTGGCAGCTTCTAAATATGTCTAAGCAGTCGTGCATATTTCCTGTTTTCGTCTCTAATTGCCCTACGAAAATGCACTCAAAAAATGTTCCCATAATCCTCCAACTGCGCGTTTGTAGCTCGGCGCATATAACAACAGATAAACATCAACGCAACGGGGTAGTCGAATACTTACAGTCCTTGAAAGTGGAAGAGCACACGATTTCTAAAATATTATAAATAATACAACCTGCTCTATTGGATTATCGGGTTAGTATAACAATTGTGACATACATTTCAATAATCTGTGGCATACAGCGCAGTCTAATTAAACAAGTTTAGTATATATATATATATATATATATATATATATATATATATATATATATATATATATATATATATATATATATATATATATATATATATATAAATAATAATAATAATAATATTTCAATTATATAGTGTAAAAAGAGTGCTCAACATCAAGAATTTAACAGAGCAAATAGTATTTTAACTTAAAATTGAGTCACAACTCTGAGTTTCACGCTGAGTGCGATCATCAGGTGACGGTGTTACAAGTGACGGTTGAATCTTCCGTATGATGACGTTGGACTTATGTTTGAATTATACGCGTGATGGCACAGCGTGCGCACGTTCAAACTTTCCCGCGAGGAATCGCTTCCGGTGGCGGCACTTCGAGAAAAGTTCACACCGCTTGTTCAATAGTTTTGTCTTATCACCTTTCAGGATATGCAATTTTTCCTGGAGACAAAGATCACAGTTTTTTGCGCCGCTGCGATAGGAAGGTGTTTGTTTTAGTATTGTCCATTTAATGTTGAATCTGTGTTTCTTTTTCTTTAATTGCCAAATGTATTTGGATAGCTCGGTGGAATTTCGTTTGTCTGGGTGTTCGAACGAGGTTTTGTGATTCGCAAAGCGCTTTTTGAAGGTTGTCGAAGTCATGCCAATATATTCTTTGGTACTTTCCTTGTCAACCTCGACTTCCGCTTTGTACACGACACTTTCTATCAGGCAATTCTTTTGGAGTGGACAATTGTCGGTGTTTCTGCAGTTACAGTTATCATTGCCGTTTGTTGTTGGTGATGTAGCTGCCTTACTTTTGGACAGGATACCGATGTATCAAGACGATTATCATGTATAATCATAGATTATCTTTTGGACAGGATACCGATGTATCATGGAAGATTCAACCGTCACTTGTAACACCGTCACCTGATGATCGCACTCAGCGTGAAACTCAGAGTTGTGACTCAATTTTAAGTTAAAATACTATTTGCTCTGTTAAATTCTTGATGTTGAGCACTCTTTTTACACTATATAATTGAAATATTATTATTATTATTATTATCAAAGCACCGGTGATACGGTTGTGCACTCTTTTTGATGTGTATACGCGAAAACTTAAAATGAATCAACTTCGGTTTAATTATTCCTTGAAAAATATTGGACTTTCAACACGTGATGAATACAAGAAGAAGCTTGTCGATAAAGTTGAAAATGTAGTAAGCAGGATGAGATGGAAAGCTCATTTCTACATAAAACGAACCAAATGCGAAAGAACAATACAAATTTGGACTAAAATCTACGAAATCACCGTCGATTATCCATGAAATGAAAGCCTTTGAAGATGATCTAGCCCATATGATGGAAAATATTCAATTCAGAAACATATCCAACCCATTTTTAAACGAAATGGACAATGATCTAAAGAAAATCAAGTCATCACCAAATATATTCGTCTTCGCGGACAAAACAAGAAATATATACGAAACATCTGCAGAAAATTACAACAAAATTTTAAAAGAAAATGTTACAAAATCATATAAAGTTTCTAAGAATGACGTGCTCGAAGATATTAACTCTGACCTCAGTCAAATTGCTAATGACCTTTCAATTAGCGATAGAATCGAGACAATGGCACCAAAAAACGCATTCGTAACAGTAAAAGATCACAAAGATAATTTCGAAACAAACCCTAAGTTCCGTCTCATAAATCCGGCTAAAAGCGAACTTGGTAGAATTAGCAAGATCACCCTTGACAATGTTAATTCATAAATCAGAAAGAGAACCGAAGTAAACCAATGGAAAAACTCTTTATCTGTCATTGACTGGTTCAATAACATCAAAAATAAACCTCGTCATTCCTTCCTCACTTTCGACATCGCAGAATTTTACCCATCAATAACCCAAGAACTCCTTGACAAAGCAATCGCATGGGCTCAAAACTACGCCACCATCAGTGAACAACAGGTCGAGATTATTAAACACGCACGGAACTCCCTTCTCTTCAGTAACGGTAAAACCTGGACCAAACAACAGGACAACCCCTTGTTCGACGTCACCATGGGGAGTTATGATGGGGCAGAAGTTTGTGAACTCGTAGGGCTATTTATACTCAACTCCCTGGCAAAAACATATGGTAAAGAACGCGTTGGCCTTTATCGAGATGACGGACTCATTCTCTTAAGTGGGACATCCGCTCGACTTGCTGACAAAGCAGGAAAAGATCTTCACGAACTGTTTGAAGAATTCCATTTGAAAATCACCGCAGAGATCACACACCAATCCGTCAACTTCCTTGATTTCACTTTTAACCTACGCGATGAAAGCTATCAACCCTATCGTAAACCTAATAACGACCCACTTTTCATTGACAGCCGTTCAAATCATCCTCCTGCAATCACGAAGCAACTTCCAACTTCAGTTAACATGCGGATTTCACAGCTATCGTCCAACCATGAAGCGTTTTCAAAAACCGCTCCTCTGTACGAAGCTGCCCTTCGCCGTAGCAATTACCAAGCGGATTTGAAATATTCCCCAAATAATTCCAATAAGACCAGGAAACGATCACGTAACATCATTTGGTTTAATCCACCTTATAGTACGAACGTAAGAACCAACGTGGGTAGAAATTTCTTAAGTTTGGTTGACAAACATTTTCCCCCATCAAATCCACTACACAAAATATTTAACAGGAACTCGGTGAAGGTTAGCTACAGCTGTATGAACAATTGTAAGAGCGTCATATCCAGGGCCGTTGCGAAGGGATATGGATTGGGGGGGTGTCGAAGGTCAAATTGCCGAGTGACGCTAGTTGAATTTGCCGAGTTTTTCAAAAGTTTGTAAAGGTTAGATATAGGTAATGAGAATCATATTGGTGTGCTAGTAACTGAGGGACACCAATATGGCTCTTGTTTTGAAATGGATGCCTGTTCGTGGGTTGTTGCTTGATACTAAACATATAAAGCTGGAAAAAAATTAAATTTAACATAATTTATACTGTGTTTTCATAAGTCCTAAATCGAGACTGAAACTATGTGCACACGGGTCACGTTTTTGAGCGTTTTTGCAGTGCCGTTTTCAAAATTTAGCGTTTAGGCGCCTTGTTCACATTGATCGTTTTTCTCGCAACATTTTCTGACAAAGCACTAGTTTTTTATAGTCTTCATTTCCAAATTCAAACACGGAATTTCATTTTCGTCTTCTACTTTTCTGTTTACACTATAACAAAGTGCCAAAACGACCAAACGTTTCAAACATAGAGAACGAATGTTTGGCATCGTTTTCACTATTTGAAACGTTTTTGCTTCCTGACGTCGTTGTCATACGTTTTCGTGTGAACAGAACGTACGTGAAAATGGTACTTTCAGTTTCAGAAATTAACGCATTAATTACAACCGAAAAACGCTCGGAAACGGTACCGTGTGCATTATATAGTCTGAGTCTCTGAGTAACGAGTGTCTTAGACTGTGGTGCAGACGCGCATCTCCGCAAAGTCAGAAAAGTTATCCAAGTATTACCCTGGTTCCAGAGGTTTATTTTTATTATTTTCATTGCGAAGGGGAGAGCAAAAATAAACCTCTGGTTGAAAGCGGCAATTGATTCATTGAGCCGCGTCAATCAGTTTGAATTAGGGTCAGATCCTGACTCTGTCTCCTGATTGGATGATCGTATTAAAGCTCTCTGATTGGTTATAGATGTTCTATTTGAACCAATCAGAGAACTTTAATACAATCATCCAGTCAGGAGACAGAGTCAGGATCTGACCCTAATTCAAACTGATTGGGGCAGCTCAATGAATCAATTGCCGCTTTCAACCAGAGGTTTATTTTTCCTCTCCCCTTCGCAATGAAAATAATAAGAATAAACCTCTGGAACCAGGGTATCCATGCAAGTATCTGCATGTGATTGCATTGATATTTTATTTCAATATTTTCAAGGCAATTTGATGAATTTGACTTTTTTTATCCCCAGGCATTTTAAGCAGTCTTAAAACTCTTAGTACCGGATAGTGTTAACCTGGGCTTTTGTACGACCCGATTTTCCAAGAGTTTAAATTTTATGCGTCAGAAAGCGAGTAAAACGGATATGATCATATGCAACCGATCGATGATACCGACCGCTGTATGCGGTATGTCTTTCAAAACTGTAGGCTGATCAGAGTTAACAGTAATTTCGCTAAAGAACTAAAGAAGACAAGTCCGTTCTTATCAGTGGCATGGCTCGTCTTTCTCTTGGTCTTCTTCTCATGTGCCTGTGGAGTTTTCTTGAGGATCTTGCGCCTCTGACGACTCAAAATATTTTCTTTGGCTTTGATTGCGCTTTGCAGTCTCAAACGGATTAGCTGGTACGTCTTTATGTGCTACTCGCACTCGGTTTCCCTTATGGCTTTGCTCGTGCCTCTTACGGTAATCGTCGGGCCGTATATTAGATAACTTTTATGGTTAATACGTTTTCCCTCGTGAAGTAAATAATAAAGTTTCTATAGTCGTCAAAAATCGAATTACATTCAAGACACTAAAGTTTTAGTCTTTTTCTTTTGGGTTTTGAACCGCGCATAATTGATAAAGAGCCTTCGCTTGAGAGCAGTCGAGCGAAGAACATGCCCGGAAACGTGGGTTTCACATTTCAGCCTCCCGTCGATTTTCGACAAATAAAAGACTAATATTATTACTAGAAAATAGAAATACATTTAAATGGTATAAGGCCACACAAACCATTATTTTAAATCCAAAATTTATTGCTTTATTTATCGCCTTCGTTCTTAA